TATTTTTACTTATTTATTTTATTTTATTTTTGCGCACTGTGCATCTCTAAATGACCAGTCATTTTTTTACATGTTAAGCTCCAGTGACGATGAATTGAAAAATTAATTTCTGTCTTGAGATTACTTTTAAGTGCAAATTCATTTTATATAGAGTGCAATTTATTATTTTATATACATATTTATTTTATTAATTATTTTATACATTATCTTACCTCTGAGAATATTTTGCGTCTGCACTGACGTGCATATTGCTTTCTTATTCTACGTTTACGAGCCGAAAGTAGAATTCGAATCGACCAATGATCACTGAGATTCCAATCTTGAATCACCTCATTTTCTTCTAGAATGTATCTTCCGATAATATTTCAAGCGTGTATTTTTCGAGTTTTAATGCGATACCTACTCTTCCTCGAGATGTCGTTTTCATACTTTTTGAACACCACCTATATTTGAAGCAGTCAATACAGAACAAGCCGTATAACTATTTTAACCTAAGGCTGTGTGTTCCTCGTCTTTTCCTTACCATAGATTCTGATAAGCAGGCACTTCCAACAGTATGGAGTCATCTTTATTTAAAACATATGGTTGCTTAGTCTTGAATGACAATAGATAATCTTGCAGTTAATTAAAAGGCATCGAAGCAGCCACCTTGCGTGAAAAGGGATAAAGAGATTACTCTAATAATGAGGTATCTCAATTCCACACAACTGGAAAGGATTCCTCAAGAATTAACACGTTTGATGGCATATTTATATCACAATTTGCTTTCTATATTATTTGATTGTAATAATGTGGTTCGCAGGTATCGCTATGTAAGATAAGTTTGCGAAATAATGCTTGACTTATTTCAGTAATGTGATAAAAACAATAATAAAATTGTAAACGAAGCTATGTTATTCGGATTCAATTAAGAATTTAAAATTAATGTTCTAAAAGCAAGAGTATTAATGCCAATAACAAATATATTACATTTTATTAAAGATTAGACATGATGTAAGGTTGAGTATAAAATGCTTAAAATTGTTCTTTATAATGTTCAAAATTGTTAAGATAAGTTTTTGAAATAATGCTTGACTTATTTCAGTAATGTGAAGAAAACAATAATAGAATTGTACACAAAGCTATGACATTCTTATTCAAATAAAAATTTAAAATTTATGTTCTAAAATCAAGATTATTAATACCAATAACAAATATACTAGTTTTTTTTTAGGATTAGATATGATGTAAGGTTGAAATGTTTAAAATTATACGTGCCTGAACAGAGCAGGCATGATTTAAATCTCAGGAAAATCATGATTTAATTTTTTTTTTAAAATCATTAATTAAAATCAGCTGTGATTTGTTTAAGAAAATCATTGTTTTTAGCCAATTCATTTTTTTAAATAAACCAATAAGTAGATTTTCATAAATATATTTTTAAGTGTGAGATTCTTCAAAGTCTTCCTGGATAATGAAAATTTTATTCTAAGAAATAACGAAAGAGTGAATTATTAAATCTCTCTCGTTAGCTATTTTATTATATTTAAATAATACTATTTTCTAATATTAATTTTATTAATATTAATTATTAAATATTATATCAATTATATTAAAAAAATTTTATTGATAATATTAATTCTAAATAACATTAAGCACCTTTAACACATTTTATCTGATGATTTGGCTGGTAAATATGGAAAAATAAGAAAGAAATCTGATTTAAATCAAATGAATCCGATTTTTATTTACTCTTTTTGAATCGTGAATTTTGCCAACCTTGTGCCTAAACAGCGTTCAACAAAAACCCTTATACTTCCTTCCTAATCTACACACCAACTTAGTTAAAAAAAGCTGGGGGGAAAAAGAATTATGTTCAACGAAAATATATTGGTAACATACTGGTTGCTCTGCAATGAACACCCTTAATATACATATTTTTAGAATTCTACATAAAAATAAAGATAAAAGATACCTACATTGGTTTGAGCAACTTAATATTTAAGTAAGAAAGTAATTTCCAAAATCAGAATTGGCGGAAGTAGAAGATATCAAAACCCGTTTAATAGACGGTTGAAGCTTGAAAATGTTTCAAATAATATTCTCTCAATTTTATTTTAAATTCTCTGGCAATCCAAAAAAGTGTAATATTTGTGCTTCTCAAACAGTTATTTTATAAAACATATTCTAATTATCAATATAGACAGGATGTTTCTTGTTCTCAACCTTAATAAGATATTTCTTGTCCTTAAATTAGATAGTCTTTGTTAGAAATGAAGTCAAAAAGTTATACATATTAGGCATGCCAAGTAAATATTTAAAGAAAAATACTTTATGATAATTAGACATACATTAACGTTGAAAACGAGATTAAAAACGTCAAACCCTATTCGATTGTCTGATGAAATTCAGAGAAGATGAAAAGAAACACCTTTTTAATCAAACTCATTGTGATATTTTTAATCTCGTCTTGCTCAATCATTTTTTTCGTCTGATTTTAATAAAGTTTTGAGATCAATACAACTAACTAAAATAAGACTTGCAGCACATAATACTACATACTAGGTTATTGAGCTTTGAACATACTAATTTTATGTAAAAAAATTTAGTAAAACATATTTATATTTGTTCAAATAACAAATTTTATACCAGTAAAGCTTTTTATATGCTAGTCTCATAAGCAAAAAAACAAAAAAACCTTTCTCGCGTTTTGTCATTCTTTAAGAAAAGTTAAATTCACTTACGTATAAATATGGGAACCGTGTGTAAAGTTTTTGATCTTGTATCATCAATAGGCATCGCACAGAAAGAAGATAGATGTGCTACGATAAAATATTTAACATCTTTGAAAAACTTTGGAAATATTCCTCTTTCGTAGTCTCAAAGGGATGGTATTTCAAAAGACCTACATCTTATAGGTACTCTTTGGGAAAATATTATTTTGCTTACTGTGAGAGCTGGTACAATATGTTATACAACATATTTCGGACTTATTTTACCTTTGACTGAAAAGTCTTGATCTTAGTCTTTCATTTCATTATTGATTCACTCACATTATATGAATCCAGTACTTTAAACACAGGTACAAGTTTAGTATTTTTGTAGCAAAGATTTATTGTTTAATTTTTAATGACTGTTCTGATAGAATAAAAACTACATTTAATTAAATTTAAATCGTATCAGCTTTCAAATTAAACTGTTTCTTTTAAATTTAATGATTAGAAAACTGAAATAATTAATAAAACTATTTCTTTTCGGAACGAACTAATAAAGAACTCTTTTCTAAAAAAATGAATTTAAAATTAAAAGAGCAAAATATATTTTGAAATAATTTCTTCGTATCTCATAGTATGCCTGTTATTTTAAAATTCCTTTAAAGGTAGTTTCTCTCAACATTAAAAATGTGTAGGTAGGTGTACTTTATTTAGGCCGCGCTAGAGCTGCACAATGGGCTATTGGCAAAGGTCTGGGAAACATCCCTGAGATGATCCGAAGTCAATGCCATCTTTTGCTCCCTGCTTTGGTAGCCCGTGACCTGCGCGCAAAGTTGCACAGGTCGTCTACTTTATAGTTACATGTAAAATCGCGTTCTACTTTATAGTAACACGGCTACTTTATAGTAACTAACTGTAACACGGCCTGCATGTAAATCCTCTTACTCTGGAGGTACATTTCTTAGGATTGATAATTCTTTTTTTAAAAAATCAGTTATTTGTACGTGTAGTTTGATTATACTACTTAAAAGTTCTTATCATTACTCCATTCTGACTTCCTTTTACTTTTTACAAATACTTCATGCCATCATTTAATACGTTTTCACTAATGAAATTTGCTTATCTGTGCAAATGAAAAAAAAAAGGTTTTATTCGGTGGAAAAAAACCGCGCTTTCTTTGCTTAGCTGAAGATTAATAACTTACAGATAGCAGCACAAAATACAATACATCCAGATAAAACCACCTTAATTTAAAATACTCTAATGAAAATTTAACAACTAAACAGTATAGTTGGTACAAGTGAAAATGATAATGGAAAAGAAATTTAAAATGACAATTGTGAAGAAAATGGTATACTATGAAAACAGAAAAGTTTTATCTAATACAACAAAAGGTTTTATTAAGTAAGACGCAAAGTTTAATGAAATAAAGTGATATATGTTTTATTGATCAAACAAGGGCTTGTTTGTAAAGATATGAACTACTCTACATCTATGTGAAATCTACTCCATTGCATTGTTAACGCTAACAGCTCCAGACATTTTACATAATAGCTGAACGTGCCATGATGGGTCGGGGGATGGAACATTCCCATTCCAATGAGGTGAACCGGGTTCGAATCCCAGCATCGGCTGGTTGATACGAATTCCGCATCCAACTTGCACCGATCACAGCGCTGACGTAAAATATCCTCAGTGGTAGGCGGATCATGGGTTAGAGCTCCCATACCACCAGGCTAACCGTGGGAGGTTTTCGTGGTTTTCCTTTCCATGGAACGCAAATGCTGGTTTGAACAACCAAAAAGTCTTCCACGAAGGCAAATTTCTATCAATACTTGATCCAGAAGTTTCCTTGTCTTCTGGATTGGGCTACGGAGGCTGCGAAGTTGAACATTAGTCGTAAAACCCGAAAATTGGGTCGGCAGTTCAAAGTCGGTTATAAAATAAAATAATATTTGAACTAAAATTGAATACTTACTAAACATCTTGACAAGAGCTTAAATAGAATTGATCTTTATTATAGCGAAAACACCAAGTGTAACGAAATAATACTTTCTTTTAAATAATCTTTCATAATCCGAGATTTCATAAAAACACCCAGTATTTCTACCATTTTTTTCACTGTTGTAAGTATTCTGAAAAGCTATTTAAAATTCCGGAAAAACATATAAATAGCAAAAAATATGTAATTTTATTATCTATCTGTGTTATTTTCAAATTTAAAAAAAAAAACATATTAAAACCTAACCTCAAGTGTACAAATTTTATATTCATACGTTTTTTTTATTCTCCTAGGTTTCACATCAGAAGAAAATATAGCCATGGTACCTAGAGTGAATATAACTATAGCCGTTAAGAACATAGACCTTGAGCCAACTATAGACCCTGGGGGTACCTCTACAACATCTTCTAAACCAGAGATTATGGAATGGGCTCTTCCAGCATCCGATCCGTGGAATTCACCAACACAACTGACATTTGCTGTCCTACTCATATTTGTACTTTCGGCCGCCATCATAGTCTGCAATTCTCTCTTACTAGTTGCTGTGTACAGATTCAAGAGACTTCGCAACCCAAGCAACTATTTTGTTGCCTCATTAGCTTCAGCTGATATTCTCATAGGACTCTTGTTGGCTCCTTCTCTGTACTTTGAGTTCTATAGAATTCATGTGCGCTGTGTCCTTCTGTGTCTTCTTCCGTACTGTCTCTTCATTCTCCTGTGTTCAGTTGCTTTACTAAGCTTGACGGCCGTGGCTGTTGACCGCTGCACGTCATTGGCATCACCATTAAAGTACAATAACATCATTACACACGGGTCTGTTGTGAGGTACATCGCTTTATTTTGGATTTACTCATTAATGGTGTCGTCTTTTCCTATGCTGTACTGGTTTTCAGCTAGAGGAACGTACACAATACAAAACTGTTCCTTCATGACGGTCGTCTTGTGGCCGTCTCGCGTGTTCCTCTTCACTGTACTCTTCGTGCCATGTGCGCTTTTGATCATTTTCAGTTACGGTTACGTGTACATAGTTGCAAGATCTCATGCAAGAGCAATATTTTCTGCAGAATTATCTTTTCGGCAGCATCCATTGTCTGGACCAAAATACGGCAGGACTTTAGCTGGGACTGTTGGAATCTTCTGCTTACTATGGATGCCTTTTCAAGTTGTAGCCTTCACTGACTCGCTGGACGAGAAAACTATATTTTATTTGGGTTTGCTGACCGTAGCCAATGCTGCAACAGATCCCTGGATGTATGGTTACAGAAGTACCGAGTTCCGTATCGCTTCTATCAGGTTACTAGAAACTACTTTTCCTCAGCTAAAGGGTGCTCTTCATAAACCTCAAGTAAGGCATGCTAGTTTTGTGAGCTGTGCCTCACATATGCGAATGGGTTTAACTCCTAACCACATGACACATACAGAAGCAACCATGTGTGCAACATTTATTGAGATACCCATACTCGCTCGATCGCTGGATGAGACTGCTGTAGCAGAAGTATGATACTTGGTACAGCTAAGTTTACGGAAAAAAAGGTGGTAAAGTTGCCGAATCTTATTTGGTACAATTTTATTGAAAACCACGCATATTGAGCATGATTCTCAAAACATACGTCAGCAACAAGTATATAATATGATGCCAAACAAGAAAATATTGTATACACGTTGTTTGCAAAGAAAAGACTTGAACTTGAGGTATTTAGTTCAAACTTCCAACTGATGGTACTACATCAAAACTTTGCATTTCATTTCACAATATTCTTGAAGTTAGCAATAAAAACGGTGTCTTTTAATTAATCTGCAAAATATCATGGAAAACATACTGAATACATAATTTTCGGAAAAGAAAATTGAATATGGTTTCAATTTCTATAAATAATAATGTAGAACTCCCATATAATATCAGGATCACGTTATTCAGGAAGTTTTGACCTCGTACCTGATTCCTACAATGTGTGTGAAACATAAATAGAAAGAAAATTAATGGACAAGCTATATTTAATTTTAAAATATTTTGAATTTTGTAAAAATTGTTTTAAAATGATTGTAAAATATGTAATTGTATTGCCGGTTTTTATTACTTCTAGTCATCATTATAACTAATATTTTGCAATTTTCTATCAAACATCAATGTAATATTTTTAATTGATTTTATGTAATATTTTTAATCGATGTAATATGTTTAATCGATTAAGTTTACAGATCGATTGAAGGTATAGATAAATCAAAATCATTAATTCAAGTTACACAAGATCACAATTCTATGAAAAATACATTAAAAAAACTTTTAACAATATTTATATATACATAATTGAAACGGTCAATGTTAAAAGGGGGTATGTTACAAATCGGCACTTTCGAGAGAGGAAAAAAAAGGGGTTGATTATCGAAATATTGTTTTGATTGCTTCCAAATTGCTAGATTATCTTCCTTAGGCAGTCTAGAAAATTACTCGGTATTTGATAATCGATGAGTGATTTGATAATCAAAACCAACGAGAAACTTTTTTCGTAAAAAATATTACATAACCCTTTTAACATAGACCACTTCAATTACTTACAAAATAAAAATATTGAAATATGATGAATAACACAAATAATAATTTAAATAAGGTGTGATGATTAACAAGCTTAACAAGTTTTGATATTTTTAAACTTGAGACATTTTTGAATTTGGACTACAACATTTTTTTATTTAAATAAAAGTACGATCAAATTAGCTGAAACTTTTGAAATCTGAAGTAAATTAAAAGCAGTTTAACATGCATTTCCTAAAATAAAGACTATAAAGAAAATACAATTTTGGTTCGCTTAGTCATTCAACTTAAAATATTTTATATTAAATTGAATGGTAATGAAAAGGTAAAATGTTATGTTCTCTAAATCAAAAAAACCTGGGTCCAAAAGTTTTGAGTGACTGTGATAATTATGATTATTAAGATTATATAAGAATGATTATTAAAACCATTATACTATTACAAGCCAATCATTTAAAACATCATAGAATATGTGTCCATTTTAAACAAAAATATATACATAGTTATTCAATAATAAAATTTGCAAATTTATTTTTACTAAAAGAGTTTTAAAGTTAAATATTCAAAACTAACTCTTCTGACAGTATTTTCAATTGTAGAATGTTTTTAAAATACTTTTAAAATTACCTTTTACTATTTTATTTTGCATTAAAACTAAAAATAAAAAATAAACTCCAAAAAAATGCATTAAGCTTGTATTACAGTAGATTCTAACTATTCCACCAAAAATTTAGATCTAACTTACTAATCAAGAAATTCCTATTTTACATATATAGAGACAATTTTTAATAAAAAAAACTTATACACCAAAATTCAAAAGAGAGAAAAATCTTTTTTTTTTAATAAAAGAGGATATTTATTTTAATAAAAACTCAAATGACAAAGATTTATTTTTTTGTAATTTTTTTCAATTAAATGACAAAGCAATAAAATGAAATACTCCTTTTAAACTTGTTCATTAAAGAGATGCAACACGTAAAATTTTAAATACATATGCCTATATAACTTAAAAGTGAAATATAAAGATAATATGAAGTTAATAGCAAACAAAAGTCATAGTAGTTTTGATTTCAATTACGATTACTCCAAATTATTTGAAATAATTAAAATCCACTCATATAAATGCAAGAAATTTTTAATTTTTACACAACATTGTAAACTGATAATTGAAATTGTTTTTCATCAAAATGTACTCAGACACAAAGATTCCAGTTAAACTACAGAAATATTAATTTTATCAGTTCGAAAACTTAACAATGCTTAGTTTAACAAGTCTGGGTAGTGTTGTAAAAGTTCGTTTAAAATTTGATATAATAAAGGTTAATAAGCCTATAAATTGACCATCTACAATTTGAAATAAAACTTAAGAATATTCATCATCATAATTTAATGATAAATCAATTTAGTGTAAACCTTAAAAATAAACATCTGTAAATATTCTCATTTGTTTTTTAAATGCTTACCATCTTAGAGCTTGCAACATTGTTCTTCTATGTGTATGCATATCCCTGTAAACTATTCTTCCCCCTGCTTTACATGACAATTGTGTGATATTATATATACGTGTATTCATTGATGTGATATTGAATCAAATAGTATGTACTAAGTACGTTATTGCTAATATATATTATAACATAGCGCTGGGAGTTTTAAAATGTCGAACATAAGTTGTTTCAAATAAAAAGTTTTAAATCTATTGGTTTGCCATATACTATGTATGAGGAGCTTTTGTGACACTAACACTACTCCTGGTGCTATGTGAATTTATAAATATGTATATTGTAAAACAGAGCTTTTATTGATGTCTTCCCATGTAAATGCTTAGAATAAAAGTATAAAACATAATATTCCCCTGTAATTTTCCTTAATTTAGATACAGAAAATGCAAAGTACTTCCGCAACACCCCCACAAAATGGACTATCCTGGATAACGTTTGATCTAATGATCGGATCTTCATATTCATGGACCCAATCTTAATGGTTCGAGGACGATACGATATTTTAAGTTACGAAATCAGACTCAAAAACTCACTTTCTCTGAATAAACATACCCTTTTTGCTGACAGATTTGGATTTTTCACCTCCTGAGCATGGAGGGTAGCCGCAATTTGGGGAATATGGTACCGATAGTTTGGTCAGGAGAGCGATCCAAACTTTGGACAGCTATTAGGACCATATTTCCCAGATTGTGGCCTCCCCCTATATTTTGGGGGTCAGAAATCCGAAATCGTTTAAAAACAAGGGTATGTTTATTCAAAAAAAGTATGTTTTTGCCTCTGATTTCATAATTTAACATTTTGTATGCACTAATTAATTAGCATATTTGAGGTCTCACATCTTCGAACCATTAAGAGTGAGTCTTAGAATGTGAAGATCAGATCATTAGATCAAAAGTTATTTAATGTGGTCCTTTTTTTTCTGGCGCATATTAAGACAAAGCAAGACTAAATGCTTATCTTATAAAATCTAAATCTGGAGCCAACTTCAAAATCTTTTGTTTTAATATGTCAGAACTGCTATGCAATTCCCATTATATAGTTGATTCATTTTTCGCAAGAATTCTAAGTAACATATGACGAAGATGGCATTTATGAAACAAAGGAAATGAACATCATATTTTCATCTGAGGAACCGCTTACTATGAAACATATTTTGACTCAGTGCAATAAATTTTACACCCACAGACAATGCTATTTTTGGTCATTTCGATCCACCATTGCTTTCGATAATGGGAAATAAACTTTATAATAACTTGAACTCACACATAAAACAGATTAGATTGCATTCATAATTTTAGCCTTAAATTTTTAACAGAATATTCTCTTAAGCCACGTTATAGGTGCGATATAGCGATTTCTGAATATTGCGCGAATCTAATTAACCCTTTGACGCAGATGGTACACCGTTGTCTCTTTTATATATTTTTTCTAACACTCTAATGACGAGCAAAAATATATTTTGGTATTTTTTAATTATAAAAAAAGTCTACTTATTACTGAAAAAAATTGTTAGATAATCGAAATTATATTTGTATTAATATATGAAATCCCCAAAAAGTAGTTAGAATTTTTTATTTATCCATATTTGAAAATTTATCAACAATTGATTTCGTTAAATTCAAAGAATTTCAATGATGAATGACTGTTTTTTATAGATATAAGTAACTTCAAATAAGTGCAAATTTGAAAACTTTATGTATGGAAGTGATCCTTGCTTTGAAAATTTTACCTGTAAAGCAGTAAAAAAAACTCTGGTATCGTATTTCATGACCTTTAATTATTAAATATGACCTAATTACTTTGGCCTAAATTAAAGCAAAATAATGCAAAAAGTAAGAAAAAACAAGCAAACTAATCTTATCTTCCAAACAATTTAATGATTTATCTAAAATGTGCCATGTGAAGTATTTTAATAATTAGTTTCGAATCTAGAATTTGGAAATTTATTCAATACGAAAACAAACTATAAATGCATATAAAGACAAAATACAAATAATTAAAAATAAAAAATAAAACTATTTTGCTTTCAGGTCTTTATATCATGAATGGCAAATCATCGTTTCTCTCTCCATATCCCATATAAATAGCACTATATTCTGCTGTTTCTGGCATATAGTAAAACTTATAACCGGGCCACCAGAGGTTTTGAAGGTAAACAACTTCTTTTAGGGCATCGGCTTGAAGCTTCCAGGAACCTAAATACATTTTTGAAAATAAGTTTAAAATATTGAATTTGAAGAACATGCTAAACAAGGTGAGACGAATATTGATTTTTTTTTTTAATTTGCCATATAAGTTGCTTTTTCTTAATTTCATATACTGCGAAAAAGTCTGGTAAAATTATCGTTCAATATAGTAAAATCATTTCTGGTAGAGAAAAAAAAGAAAAAAACATGATTCAGAAATTTCAAAACACTGTAAATTTTAACGTACTGTGGTAGTCTTGACTGTACTTTTTTTCAGTGTAAAAATATTTCAAAATTAGGCAATAACTTCATATGCATCTATAAACTATAAAGAGTTTTTTTTACTGATAAAAATATAAGTTTAAAATTCCTTATGGGTTTAGTATGAAAAATTACAGCGTGGGCATTTTTTTTACTGTAAAAAATTGTTTTGAAATTTGACTATATCCTCCGACGCTTTTACCTTACGTTTAGCAAAAAAAAAGCATTTTTACTTGAACACATTTTCTTTTTAAAACTAATCTTTAAACTTTTAAATATAACTTGACACTGTAACTGCGCATCCGAATTTTTTTTTCAATTGATAACGCAATAAAAAAATCTACAAAAATTGTAATTTGAAAGAAAAATTATCTTCCAAACTATGGTTCGTTCTAATATTAAGTAGAATTTTAGTCTAACTTTAACCTGGCTATTCAATAATAAGCTAATTGCAAAGAAAAAGTACGATAGAATTAAATCAAAGAAATGTGTCACCGTTTGGGAAGTCTAAATTGATAGGTTCCAAAAACTGCCGAGCTCTGTCTCCTCCTGGAGGACAAATTAAGATGGTTGGTGCGATGCTTACATCAGCTTCCGGCAGACGATAGTGCAAATAAGAATTCAAGTCTAAAGCTTCCATTTTGGATAAACCTAGAATAGTGAGAATGTGAGTTTTGTTACATACTGTTCAAAACTTTAAAATGCATTTAATTATTTATTTATTTATCCATTTATTAAATTTGCAAGGAATGTATAACTAATTTAGTGTTGAATCTAATATTCATAAATTTCAATATATGTTCCCTAAGTAAGTTTCTCATTGAAATTCTAACAACACTAAACTTTCGAAGAGTTTCTAAGAAAAATTGAGCCTAATTCATGAAACGAATTGATTTTTTATTATTTCAATCCTGTCTTTGCTTTGATTGATTTCAATAATAATTGACTAGTTAAGTAATTTTATTTCTGTAACACAAGATCTTCTTATTTGAAATTTTCAAATTAAAATTCTCTCTGTCAGCCTCTGGCTATTATTATCTCAATCTCAGTTCTTTCATATTTGTCCCGTAGTGGACTGGTCGTTAAGACACAGTTCCCAGAAGATCACCGAAGTCAAGCATCACTGGCTGCGGTCAGTGTGCGGGTGGGTGACCACTTGGATCAGACCGAGGGTGTGCGGTATTGGTCCTCGTTAAACTGTGCTACCGTAAAGTGTTCGACTTTGCGCAGGTCGTCGGGCTACCGAAGCGGAGGTGCCATCCCCTCCGCAGAGGATCAAAATTGTGATGGCATGTCTTCGGATCATCCTCCGGGATGTTTCCCAGACCGTCGCCAATAGCCCATTGTGCAGCTCTAGTGCGACGTAAATTAACA